CAGCCTCAGGCATCTGAAAAGTCTTCAAAAGTCAAAACCAAGCAAAAAAAGTCCTCCTCTAAGGACTCTACTAAAGTTCCAGGCTCCTTCAAGCAGCCTAAATCGAAGTCTTCTGAGCTCATTACTATTGCTAAGAAGCTTCTTCAACAAGCAGCCTGTAGTGGTTCGTCTTTACCAGCATCCTCCATAGGCTCAGTCAACCCATATGCCAACATGGATCCAGATGCCCAAGATCCATATGCTGATTGTGATGACCTCACCCCTGACCTGGCCTCTCCATGATTCTTTTTCTTATGCGTGATAGCTTTAATCACTACTTTCTATTAAAGAAAGAAAAGCTGTCTATTGCGTATAATGTTAAGTTATCAATTATTCCCTCGATTTTTTCCATTAAGTAAAGCACCCATTATTCCTATCAAATCTGCTTTTTTCACCGAAAGTAGATTTCTTTTGTCCGGAGCAGGGACCCACCTAGCACTCTGCACCATGTTTCAGACATCAGGACCCACCTAGTGTTCTTTAGTCAAAAGTCACCCAGAGTTAAAATAATTCACCCTTGCTTTTCCACCGAAAGTTGAAGAGAATAGTCTTTACCTTTGGTTAAAGCAAAAGAAGAAATCATAACAAGAGATTCCCTAAGTAATCTCTACGTCTATAAAATGGTTGCTTCACTTCAGTTCAAGGCAGAGGTTTNTTTTTATGACAGAACTCATTTCACGAGTCTGTTAATATTCTTCAGTAAATATAAGATTCCCTGGATTTATAAATGGTCTTGAAAAATTTGTTCTAACTTTGTTTGCAGGCAATCTAGTGTTAAATGGTGGTCAAGGTTCCAGCATTATTACCCAAGTAAAATAGGAGTTTCCTGTAAAGATCCCAGCACCAGTTACAGTATCAACTGTTGCTGCAATCCTTCCAGCAATAACTCTACCACCAACAAAGGCTTTGCCAGCCCTCAGGATTTCCACTCAAGAGCAGCCTCAGGCATCTAAAAAGCCTTCAAAAGTCAAAACCAAGCAAAAAAAGTCCTCCTCTAAGGACTCTACTAAAGTTCCAGGCTCCTTCAAGCAGCCTAAATCGAAGTCTTCTGAGCTCATTACTATTGCTAAGAAGCTTCTTCAACAAGCAGCCTGTAGTGGTTCGTCTTTACCAGCATCCTCCATAGGCTCAGTCAACCCATATGCCAACATGGATCCAGATGCCCAAGATCCATATGCTGATTGTGATGACCTCACCCCTGACCTGGCCTCTCCATGATTCTTTTTCTTATGCGTGATAGCTTTAATCACTACTTTCTATTAAAGAAAGAAAAGCTGTCTATTGCGTATAATGTTAAGTTATCAATTATTCCCTCGATTTTTTCCATTAAGTAAAGCACCCATTATTCCTATCAAATCTGCTTTTTTCACCGAAAGTAGATTTCTTTTGTCCGGAGCAGGGACCCACCTAGCACTCTGCACCATGTTTCAGACATCAGGATCCACCTAGTGTTCTTTAGTCAAAAGTCACCCAGAGTTAAAATAATTCACCCTTGCTTTTCCACCGAAAGTTGAAGAGAATAGTCTTTACCTTTGGTTAAAGCAAAAGAAGAAATCATAACAAGAGATTCCCTAAGTAATCTCTACGTCTATAAAATGGTTGCTTCACTTCAGTTCAAGGCAGAGGTTTTTTGAAACCCATATTACATACTAAAGACACAATTCTCTCCTACCTTCACTAGTAAAACCCTGTATTCCGAGATCTCTCATAATGATGCAAATGAAGAGATTCTCATCTATTCTCTTTCAGTACTAGCCCACTTAGTGCTAGTATTGTAAGTATTTTATTTCTGTAATTTGTATTTATATTNAGAGCAGGGACCCACCTAGCACTCTGCACCATGTTTCAGACATCAGGACCCACCTAATGTTCTTTAGTCAAAAGTCACCCAGAGTTAAAGTAATTCACCCTTGCTTTTCCACCGAAAGTTGAAGGGAATAGTCTTTACCTTTGGTTAAAGCAAAAGAAGAAATCATAACAAGAGATTCCCTAAGTAATCTCTACGTCTATAAAATGGTTGCTTCACTTCAGTTCAAGGCAGAGGTTTTTTGAAACCCATATTACATACTAAAGACACAATTCTCTCCTACCTTCACTAGTAAAACCCTGTATTCCGAGATCTCTCATAATGATGCAAATGAAGAGATTCTCATCTATTCTCTTTCAGTACTAGCCCACTTAGTGCTAGTATTGTAAGTATTTTATTTCTGTAATTTGTATTTATATTTTGTTAAACAAGTTTTTATAAGACAAAACATTATTTTGTCACGTTTATATTTACATCTTGTGATTCTCTATATATATATAATCGTGCACTGTTATGAATGAAACATATGGATGATGTTTTATGAATTTATCATTATTCCCCCTCTCTGTCTCTGTCGTAGTGGACTGGTGGCAATGATTTTTATGTTCTGATTATGGTTTTTATGTTAAAAACTTGGTTAAAGTTATTGATTGTTAATTTATATGAATATTATGTAATATATGTATTAGGTTTAAAACAACAAGCATATTTTGGGTTCTACCCAAATTCAACTCAAATTGAACCTGTAAAGTAACTCAAAATCAGTCCGAAATTATTAATTCGAATTCAACTCGAGCCCGCCTAAATTAAAATCGGGCAGTGTTCGGGTTGAGTTTCTCGACCTGAGATAGGGTTAGGGTTAAGGTTAGGATTGAAGATTATATACTTAGGGTTAAGTTAGAGTTGACCATCTAACCCGTTCAACCTGTCCGAATTGCACCCCTAATTGCCTCGCCCAACCCTAAGGGGAGAAGAATCCCAAATATAGAACAAGAAAAATAAAGTAAGAAAGAATAATTATATTTGCTAGATTATACTAATTAGTTATTGATGTATATCTTGTTTACATGTTATTATTGTAATTACCCGTGTAATATTCTTTATATATAAACCTCAATACATAAGTGCTCCTGTGTGTGAGATTTACACATTTCTACATGGTATCAGAGCTACACTACAGTTCAACTCATCTCTTTAGTGCTTAGCAATCTTGATTCTTTATATCCTCTGTACTTTGCTTCCCTCCCATTTCAATGGTCTATTCAAGCCCAAAACCCATTGTGCTTCTCTCCAACTTCATCTCCACATCCTGCACTCACTGTATCAAATATCAAAAACTATGACACTTGACTTCACTAATTATCTTCTGTAGAAGGAACTTTTTCTTCCAGTTTTAAAAGGACATGATGTTTATGATCACGTTGATGGGTCATCTATTTGCCCTCTTTCCACCATGACTAATGATTCTGGCCTCTTCTCGTGGTGATGGTGGTCGTGATCGTGATCGTGGTCGTGGTTACCACAATCATTACAACAATAACAACTTTCGCTATGTTCAGCATTCATCACCTTCTCATGATACTTCTTCAACTCGTGGACATGGACGATCTGATTCTCATGACTCATATCAATCCGTTTCTTGACAAAACTCATTTTCTCCTCATCGGCAATCTTTCCAATCATGGAAAGGATGGTTCTTCTTTTCTTAGTGCATGTCCAATGCCACAACAATCATTTTCTCTTGGGGCTATTTGGTAATGGGGTATGGGGTGGCTTGGGAAGATGAGTTTGAAAAAAATAGTTCAAAACTCTCACAAATCTCATATTCGTTTAGAAAATTCAGTTTCGAGTTTTCAAACCCGATCCTTAGTTGACCCAAATATTAAATTCATGATCATGGGTATCGTCAAACCTAGAGGAAGGATGGGTTTGGGAATATGTGTAAGGGATTAAAGATCTAAAAAATAATTATACACTTTAACATGGGTATAAATTAGATTGATTAAGGATAAAATAGTTATTTATAAGACAAATAGTTATTAATAATTATGATATATCCATGAGTCATATATGTGTATGTGTTGCGTACCAAATATGTATACGAACTCATCTCTTACAAAGAAGAGTTTGAGTTTATAAGAATTTAAAAAAGTTAATCTAAACTCCACCTCAAAATATATCCGAACAAGCCTTTAGAGCATCCCCTATCCAATGCCAATTTTGTTATGAGTTTAATCGCATTGATCGTAAATGCCCAAATCATCAATTGGCCTTTGCTGCCAATTATCACTCATACACTCTACCTTCTCCTCCTATACCAGATGGTTATGNTTTTAACATGGGTATAAATTAGATTGATTAAGGATAAAATAGTCATTTATAAGACAAATAGTTGTTAATAATTATGATATATCCATGAGTCATATATGTGTATGTGTTGCATACCAAATATGTATACGAACTCATCTTTACAAAGAAGAGTTTGAGTTTATAAGAATTTAAAAAAGTTAATCTAAACTCCCCCTCAAAATATATCCAAACAAGCCTTTAGAGCATCCCCTATCCAATGCCAATTTTGTTATGAGTTTAATCGCATTGATCGTAAATGCCCAAATCATCAATTGGCCTTTGCTGCCAATTATCACTCATACACTCTACCTTCTCCTCCTATACCAGATGGTTATGATCCCAATTGGTTTCCTGATACCAGTGCACCTAATCACATAACTCCCTCGCCAGGCACTCTTATGAATTCTCACCCTTACGATGGTCGTCTTGATCGCATTCAAGTAGGTAATGGCATGTTACTGTTTATTTATCACTCTAATCTTCTTACACCGACTTCCACCTTCATATTTACAATGCTCTGGTCGCTCCTAGTCTTCAAAAAAAATTGCTTTCTGTTTACCAGTTTACAAATGACAATCAATACAGCATTGAATTAGACCCTTTTGATTTTTCTGTTAAGTTCTGGAAAACTGATAACTTTCAATCTGAAGGTTGACCACTAGTTTAAAAACTAATATATAGCATAAAATCCAAAAAAAAAAACTTCATTGGTTGGTCCACTTGGAACAATCTTTGAGGCTGGATGGCTTGTGATACTAAGATACTCACAACCGTCACGTAACAACTCCACCAACCACATAGTAAAAGATTCAAGTAGATCCCACTGGAATCCACAGACAAAACGGTCCCATTCAATTGCCGCCCTCCAACTTCTACAAAACCAATCTCTCTCCCAAAAAAAACTGAAAATTCTGCCTCCCAAAACAATGGAAGCTCTCTGCCCCAAATTTGATCTCAACCCACCTCACCTCTCCCCATTCTCCAAACCACTGCCAAATCCCACTTCTCTTTTGGCCTATTCGCGTCGATTTTCGTGCTCAAATGGTCGTAAATACCAGAAATATAGAGTAATAATACCTCAAGCTTTAGCTAAAACAACGTCAAATGGAGATTTTGTTCAAGTAAATCAGAATTTGATCAGATGGGTTGGAAGAGGGTTGCTTGGTTTTGCTGCTGCTGTTTCGGTTTGTAGCGATTCTCCTGCTTTTGCAGAGTCTCTGACTGTGGCGTTCCCTGTATCTCACACTAGGGAGGTCAGTGATTGTACTTTATGTTGTTGTTCATATGTGTCTGATAAATTTCTTTTAATGGGTTGTTTTGTGTTGGAAGTTCAAATGTAATTTGAAGCACAATTCTAATATCAGTTGCTTATGGGTATAGAGTTTGTTGTGTTAGGTTAATACAGTTCAAAGAACCCTTGTGGAGGCTTGGGGATTGATTAGAGAGACATTCATTGATCCAACGTTCAATCATCAAGGTACCAAATCAGAAACCAGTGTTTACCTTTTTTTCCTGTCTTTTTTTTTTTGGGTCAGGGCTTTTTTCCTGTCTTTAGTTGCCTAGAACCTTGGTATAAGAAACCAAAAATGACTATCAGGCTGTGATTTGCTATGCTATGTCTGAGTTTCTATGAGACGAAAAGCTACAAGACTTAATCACATAATTGGGTTATTACTTTTGTTGATCCAGTTCCTAAGCAATCAAAATTGATTGGTTAATACGACAAATAACTTCTCTTTGCAGATTGGGATTTGAAGCTGCAACAAACAATGGTGGAAATGTTTCCACTCAGATCAGAAGATGCAGCGTATAACAAGATTAGGGGAATGCTTTCAACTCTTGGAGATCCTTTTACTCGTATCATCAGTCCTAAGGTCTTATATTTGAGTTACATCATTTCTTCTATGGGAATGATGTTTTTAGCTTTTATAGGAATTGAGGATAGCAGTCGTATCTTAACCTTAAAATTAAAATGAAAAGTTACGAGGACTTGTAGGAATTTATGTCGTTTTTCAAGTAAATCAAAACTAGAACTTCTTGTTGTTACCATTGTCAAAACTAATGTTTTCTTATTCCCTTAGTTTTTACTCCTTACACTTTTCTAGTTGAGTCCTTATGCCTAATATCTTGAGGTTTGAACTTGTTATTCGAATTACCTAGTGTTCTTTCCTATTGTCTTTTCTAAGCAGATATTCACATTTGAAATAATTCGATAAACTTAAGTGCAGGAATACCAAACTTTTAGGATTGGAAGCAATGGCAATTTGCAAGGAGTTGGTGTCTTCATTAATGTTGAACCTAAAACTGGGCACCTGGTTGGTAACACTCGTCAAATAATTTTTTATGACTATTGGTTCTCATAAAATGTGTACGTGTCTATGTGAATTCCCACTTGATTTTGCATCTTAACACTGTTTCGCTTAAATTGCCTAGATTGTGCAGAACACATGCCCCAATTGCTGCAAACCAATAGGAAAAGGTGCTTAATAGTCAACTGTTGCCTGAAATGTTCAGACGCCCTTCTAATATTCTGAACTGTTCTCTGCTACAATATCTATCTGTTGTGTCCTTGTATCAATTCTTTTTAAGCTTTCAGCTTTGTTGTGCAATGATGTGGTCAGCTGAATCCTTTTAAGTTAGGCATCTGTATTATTTGCCAACTTGTCAAAATAAGAAGCCTATGGAAAGCGGAAAAAGCATAACCATCTGCATTTGTGGGTGGCAATGACTCCTGCATATGGAAATACCGAATTGGATTCCCACATCTTAAATCGAATGTTCTATGCAGAAACTTATGAAAAAGAAAGAGAGGGATGGATGGAAATGGGGATCATAGGTCCATCCTGATAACATATGGTGGCAGTGAAGATGATTTTCCTCTTATCTTAATCAGATCTGCAAGTCTAAGTACTATGAACTTGAAATAAATAAAAATTACACATATGGTTTTATGGCTATCTTTTGAATCTCAACTAGTATTAGCCATGCTGAAGCAAGCATTAGCACTTGTCTAATTTGAGCTGTGTAATATAAATGATGGCAACTTACTACAATTGTCAATTTGTCACTAGTTTAGTTCTTTTGCTTGCTCCAATATAGTCATCTAACCCTTCCACAAACAAAAGGTGTCAACTATACATCAAGAAGACTATAGCATGCTTCTCTAGATTATTGATGGATGGTACCAATCACCATATACTCATGTACCACAATGAATTTAATTCCATGATCGCAATATTCTTTGTCTTACAGAATACATGTTCATGCATCGAATTCTATGTCTCTGCCTTTCAGGTTATTTTGTCTTGTGTAGAAGGTAGCCCAGCTGCTCGTGCTGGCATACATGAAGGAGATGAGTTGGTTGAAATTAATGGTATGTTAATGATTAAACTTATGATCTTATCAGTTCAAGAACCAAAATTGGAGCTGTAGAATCTACATCCTAATTATTTTGTGATTGAAAAATCTTATGCGAAGCAAATAGATTGAGCAAATTTATTTAATTGTTTCAAAAGTTTGTACAAGATTTCTATGTTTACTTTGAGAGTCTTATATTGTAGCAGAGGCCTTGATGCAAAACGGGAAGAGGATGAGAAGAAAGGATACGAGATACCAAACCCTCTCAAGGATTAGGTCAAGAAACACATAAGTTCTCCACAGAGCAACACTTTTACTATAGAGCAACACTTTTACTATTATCATTCTCTCATAAAATAGTAGGGATTACATCAATATCTATAGACCAAGTCTCCTATCAAAACAAAAATTATTCTCGTACTAAAATTCTATAATAGCTTTCTAATCAAACTCTCACTGCACAAAATTAATGGAACACTCCTACTCAAAAAAAAAATTGCCTACTTCAATAATCTAATGAAAAATAGTAAAACAATCCTAATAAAACTGTCAATCTCACTTTCCTTTTGAACAAAAAATCCTAGTCTTCCATCTAGTCTTAAATTGGTCCAACAAATTCATCCTGTCTCTTTAATTTATTTGAACTTTTGGAATGTTGCTAGATACCCTTTGAGTATTAATGAGGGGATGCTTCTTGTCTCATATCCAGATTCAGAACAGCAAAAAACCTAAGCTGCGGAAGTGTTATGACTGAAAACTTAGATGATATAAGTTATATCTTATGCCATCAGTTTAGTTATTACATTGAATCTCCTTGGTTGACACCAATCAAATTAATGGGTTGTAATCCCCTTCTTAGGCTGTAAATGCAAAGTTTTACCCCCAGGTAAAGTAGATAATGTGTAAGTTTTTTGTTTAAATTATAATGTGTAACGAATTTAGCACTTAATGTGCGATAAGCAATAATATTGACACCTTACAGAAGATCTATGAATAATTTATTAATACCAATAGAGTAAAAAACATTTGCATAACTTTCGTGTTTTGTGAAAGTCAAATTTTAAAAAGTAATCTCTTTTTAATCCATAACATGTTGCAATTCTGCAATGTGATGAAGGGCTATGGAAGTCATATTTCCTGAAACTGGTCGACTTTTTCCATAATCCTGACCAAAATACATGACATATCTGATTCCTGTCTGAGTCCTTCTCTAGGAGTTGGATTTCAATAAGGTTTCATGGGATGCAGAGGAAGGCTAACCCTCTTCCCACTTAACTATTTTTTTACAAAGAAAGCAAATTAGGAACAAATTTACGAGGCTCACCATTTGGGCTGGTAGCTAGAAATTATGGTGTGCACTACCTCCAGTACTTGCTGTTCAAAATGCTTGGATCTATTCTCTCAATAAAGATGTGCATGTATGTGTGTAGTTATGATCCTCAATTCTTGAAGTTTTCTTAGTTTTCTGAAGGGAAGGCATGGGTTTTAGATTTCTATTCACTTCTGTTTCTGTGGTATGGTAGAAAGTAATTTTTTTTTTTTGACTTCAGGAGAAAAGCTGGATGGTATTGCCAGTGAAGAGGCAGCACAGAAGCTGAGAGGACCTGCTGGAACAACTGTTACAGTAACAATCCACAATGTAAACATTCTATCTTTCTCATTTTGGGCAATATATTTGTCTCATGCTCGGTTAGATATTTCATGTACAATGTGATCATTTTGAAGTCAAGTGTACAATGCCAGTTAACGATCTCTCTAGGATACAATAGTGAGCATAGATTCCCCTGCCAACAAATGCCAGAAAATGACAAAATAAGCATCGCAACTGTGTTATGTGAGCACTTCAATGCATATAAATTTAATAGCATAAGGCAACTACCATGATACATTTGTAAGTAGTCGCATTGATATATATGTACAAATCTACACAGGATCATATTGGTTTTAGATACCAAATACCCTGTCCTAAAATTAACTATTACACACATCTGTCACCGACATCCCAAATTATGTAATAAATCTTATTCTCTGTTTAATATAATCATTGAAGTATCGTTTACAATTCAAAGATTATTCACCTCCAAGTTTGTAACAGTAACAATTATGCAAGAACTACAAGTGGAAGGCTTGTTGATGGTGGTTGTGAACCTGCATTAGACTTGAAATTGACATGGATTCATTATATCCTACTGGGGAATCTAATGATCTCTTAAAGTTCCAAGTTTCTCAGTGTTCTGCTTTTCTGTCTTGTTCTCCAGGGTGAAGATATGGGAAGTGGGTCTAGTTTCAGAGAGGTATACATTCAATATATGCGGATTTTCATTTCTATATACTCAGTTAAGAATGTAGTTGGCTTCATTCTAAAATCAAAGAAAGAACCATTTTGAAAGTTCACATACTCTCACTGTTCTAGAAAATGTATTCCGACTCGCTCTCGTCTCTATATTTAGGACTTCATAGTGTATTTTAATGAATCCATTTGGCAAAATGCCCAATTTCTTGAAGGTTAAACTACCTCGTGAAGTTATAAGGCTTTCCCCTATATCCAGTGCCATCATTCCTCACAAAACTCCTGACGGTCATCTCTCAAAGACTGGATACGTAAAGTTATCAGCCTTCTCTCAGGTAGTTATTGTGTAAAGTGTTCTTTTGATCTCACTTGGATGCATTTTCAATATGTGTTTGCCATAAATGATGGAAGGAACTAGCATAAAATTCATCCTGGATGAAGGCCCTCATGTTCTTGTATAACAGACTGCTGCCACTGATATGGAAAATACAATTCTTGAGATGGAGAATCAGGATGTGCACTCATACATACTGGATCTTCGGAACAATCCTGTAAGTCCTTAATTTTATTTGGGCAGATCAATAATTGTTTTCTTTTTCCCAAATTTGTTGGCTTCTTCTGGTTTTATTTTAATGACTTTTCTTTCTGTTACAACTTTGCAGGGGGGCTTAGTAAAAGCAGGACTCGATGTTGCCCGTATATGGCTTGATGGAAATGAAACTCTTGTGAACACCATAGACAGGGAAGGGAATATGTCACCCATCAACATGGCGAGTGGGCATGCTGTAACGCATGATCCACTTGTTGTGCTGGTAAGTTACACACATTTGAATTATCATTCTTCTGGCTGCAATCCATGTCTTAGTTTCTTTGGCTTGAATAAACTCTTTAAGTTGAGGGATATGTAATTACTGATCATTTGTATCAGCGCCTGCAGATTTTCACACAGTTTTCCCCCTTCTGAAACAGGTCAATGAGGGAAGTGCAAGTGCGAGTGAGATTTTGGCAGGGGCACTACATGACAGTGGCCGAGCTATCCTTGTAGGGCACAGAACCTTTGGGAAAGGGAAAATACAGGTATATTATTTGTCACTGCTAAGCAAGAAAGTTTTTCCATTACCTTACTATTTCAGGACTTTATTGGCTCCACTGGTATTGCGAAAAACAAAACAAAAAGTCATACCAATGCATAATGCTCCTGCATAAGTGCACTACACTACCCATTGGTAATGGAAAAGACTTCCATGCCAAAATGTCTTTTTTCATTTCTTCCTCAAAGGCACTGTAATCATGCTTTTAGTTTAACAACTTCATCCTCTATCACTTTAGCATCATTTCAAAGTCTGGATATCTTTCCCCCTTTTTATCGGTGCTCCTAAATACCTTTTTATTCTTGTGAACATTCTGATTCATTCCTTTTGCATACTCGTATGTCCTTGTACACTTTTTTTGGTTGATGGTTCTGATGTTTTGGTTGGAAGCTAAACAACCTGTCTTTTGAGGCTCTTTTGCTCATATTTGTTTCAAGTCTCTTGACATCTTTAAATTTTCTTACAAATCCAGAGCGTCACAGAATTGCATGATGGATCAGCTCTGTTTGTCACAGTCGCCAAGTATCTGTCGCCAGCACTTCATGACATAGATCAGGTTGGCATAACACCAGACGTTCAATGCACAACCGATATGTTAAATTCACCGAAGGACTCATCGAAGGGCAAGAGTGCTGCCTCACCGTCTTTGGAAGCTGATTCCTGTATCATGGTCGCAGAGCACGAGTTGGACGTTCAAGAATCCAATGGATCTGCCTCTTGAAAACTGTTTTCTGCAGTTTTTTCCAATCCTGTATTGTAGATTCAATTTGAATGTATAAATGATAGGGAAGTCTCATTACAACTGCTCTGCTTGTAAATGGCAGAGTATGTAATTGAATGCAAACTGTTCAAGATTAATCATGTTAGAATACATCAATCAAAAAAGGAAACCAGTGGACTCTTTGAAAATGTCCAATAGACATTGCTAAATCAAAACCAAACTGGGTGGAAATTTTATTGAAACTAGACATCTGATCAGCCTCAAGTTTTTCGCATCGATTCTTATCTACCTCAGTGAGTGGTATTTTTTGACCCATTTGAGCCTTAATTCTATCTGATTCATTCGTAATTTTTGATACCATAGTTTTTTCTAAACAATAAATAACCAATTAGGATCAATCTCAAATTTTTTTCATCGATTCTTATCAATCCCACTTAGTGGTATTTTGACCCGTAATGCCATCCGATTCATTCGTAATTTTTGATATCAATTTTTTTCTAAACAATAAATAATCAATTAGAATCCATCTCAAGTTTTTTGCATCGATTCTTATCAATCCCATTGAGTGATATTTTGACGTGTTTTGATTCGTATTTTTTTATATCATAGGTTTTTTTTCTAAAATCCTAATCTGTTTGAGTCGTAATTTTTCATATGATAGCTTTTTTTGAAAAAAGTAATTAATCAATTAAAGAAATAGGAGTTAGAGTTGTGAGACAAACCGCCAGGGATAAGAAANTTGATTCATATTTTTGATATCATAGGTTTTTTTTCTAAAATCCTAATCTGTTTGAGTCGTAATTTTTCATATGATAGCTTTTTTAAAAAAAAGTAAATAATCAATTAAAGAAATAGGAGTTAGAGTTGTGAGACAAACCGCCAGGGATAAGAAACAACATAGGCCATGCGTGAATTGTCTGAATTCACGTGCTAATACTAATAATAAGTGGTCCAAAGCCAGAGAATATGGGCGGCGCCGTATACAAACCAGACACATTGTGTGGGATCCTGGTTGGCCTTACTTACAATACACTTGTTTGACTCATGTCGGCAGTCCCTTTCCCCTTGCCATGGAAATGGAAGATTGTGAAGAAGCCAGGTCATAGAAAAATGTCTGGTGTTCATTTGCTTGCATGTGGTTTCAAATTCTTGCAAGAATTTTTTCTTTGAAAATGTTAACAACACCTGGCTTCCATCATTTGCTCACACTATGATGTCCAACGACTCCAACCGGCCACAACCCTAACCCCCAAAAAAATAAAAAATAAAAATTAGGTGTAATTATTATATCACGTCATCAAAGACCTGCAATAATATTGACATACAAATCATTCGTCTCACTTGAGTATAGAGGCAAAAGACTAATTGAACCATCTTGTAATTGGTTTCCTTTAAAATTTTTCTCAGGATAGTTAGAGTTTGGGGTGCGAATTTTATAGAGGCATCGAGGGCGCAACGCCCTCAACTTATTCTCGAATTTTAAATAAGTAGGTGTGGCGGCTTGTTTGTGTCATGCCACAAAATCGAGACCATCGAGTGAGTCATTTTTTAAAAGCAAAATTGGCGATGAGAAATGAATTGTAAGTCGGGTTACGATGCCCAACTGCACGACATCATTTTATCCATTTTTGTAGTTTTTTATTGGATAATTAGACAATATCAGTATTATTGACATGGTGTAACCGTTACACTCCAACCATTCACCCACCCAACAAATATTTAATGTAATGGTTACATTATGTCATCACGTGGTATTGTTGATCAATAATAAATAAACCAATAGAACAAATGAACTACGTTAATCTTATATTGTAGTTATTGAATAGGGAAGTTTTTTGTAGTTATAAAATTTAGTGGGATTCACTAGTCGTACATAGTCATTCATAATTGATCGATGACATTATATGTTAATGATGACATGATATCACTATTCCATTAAATATTTTCTCTCCTAATAGACACGCACACAAAATAGCAAAGGAAATTTAACTCTTTTTGTAAAAAAAAAAATTTCATTTTTTGTGCTTAAAATTTCATCATTATGAACACGACCAAATATAATGTCACCAGCGATCTCTTCGTGTAATGTATGAAATTAATGTTATCTCTTCACCACCTCCTCTATTCCCACTCTCACCGCCCATACAAAATTTATCAAGCACTCTCTTTTATAAATTGGTTCTTTTATACATAATATAAATGGGTAAGGCGAAATAGATTTTCATGTTTTTATAAATTTTCCCTTGATGAAGATGTAATGTACTATTAATATAACCAAAAAAAAACAAAGGGCTTAAAATCCACCGATAGCCTATTAAATGCCATTTTATTTCATTCCTGGGTTGTATATTACTTGAAAGACAAACTCGAAATTTGGTAAACGATGATCTTTGTGCACCTTTATGTCTTTGCTAATTGCCATGTAAATGAAAGTGTATGAATTAACTAGTTTTTCTCTTCTTCAGATATCAGAGAGAAAGAGAGGCATTATGAATTCAGGTGCCCTATTTGCCCATATATCAATCTAAATAACAAAAATAGCGTTTCTATTAGTTTTACGCCAGTTTTTCTCATTAAAGTTGCAAAAAATTGCTCAAATATTTAGTTACAAGAAAACTTTCACAAAGGAGTTGAGAGAAGTCCAAAAATGACACAATAAAACTCTCTAAAAGGGGAACATAAAAACAATGGAGTTGATAAGAATCAATGCAAAAATCTTTTTGGATTCTTACGACTATATGATGTTGGTTAAAATATAAATATTTCTCTTTATGTGTGTTCATTAAAAAAAAAAAAAAAATCTCCGAATCCTTCATACATGATAATTAATATAACTCTTAAATTTCAATCCATCAATTACATTGATATTTTGAATCTTTCCAAAGTTAACCCTAATATTTTGCAAGTCGGACTAACTATTTGGGTAAAATAGAATTGAGCAATGATAGAGATTCCAAATTGTATTTCAAATCAAAATAGATGTTTAGATTAGTGAATTGTTTTTAATTTTTTCCAGTTGAACTCAATATTCAAACGTAAATCATGTACAAACATTACCATGTAGTTGTTAACAATGGCTGTTTTGTGCACGATACTTATAAATAAATAAATAAAAAAGAGCAAATCAAATTTCATATCAATAATGGGAAAAAAAAAATCAATAAATAACTAAATATTTTATTCTCTCAGATTGTATAGAGTAAAAACGAATCATTCCAATGACAACCACAAAATTCTCACAATCCAATCCATAGCAAAGCCATCTCTGTATCCAAACAAAGCCTGTGTTTTTTTTTTTTTTTCCTTATGAGAATTTCACTGCCTCGAGAGAGCGAGAGCAGAGAAGAGGACAGAGGTGCCAATCAGAACGCCGGAAATAGGCAGAGAATATGCAGCTCCAGAGTCCGGTGATGGATCCGGCGCCATCACGCTACCCTGCGCCGTGACAGTGACTGCGGCAATGACCAAGGCAACGAACACAAAGGCCTTGAGGATGCTAACTTGGGCCATTGGTGAACGGTACTACCACGAAGTTACAGGTAGTATCTGAATGAGTGGTTTCACAGAGAAACTTTGGGAGCCGAGATTTTTGTGAGAGAGACGACGAAGGCGGTGTGAATTTATAGGGGTTTTGTGTGTTGGGGGGGGGCTGTGGACCCCACGAGAGAGTGGGAGGAGTTAGACTATTCACCAAACAGCTCATAGTGTGGTACATTGAATTCGAATTTGAATAAAGTACTTATCATCACTTAGTGCTGGTCCTTTGAATAAGAATTTAAATTTTTTTGTTTAAAATACTTGGATCAAGTAGATTATTTTTACACCTTAAATCTTTTTTTTTTTTTTTTTGATATGTAATAATATAATAATATTATAAGCGATCTAATCAATTTATTTAACAAAATAAAAAAAAATTCTTAAATAAATAACAGATTAAATACTCAAAAACTTATAGAATAAAGTAATAATTAAAATATAAATTAATTATTCAATATCTAGTTTATTATTTAATTTAATGATACATAATTTATGCCTATAAATATTATTTAAATTTGTTTCTCTTCGTACATTGCTAGTATCATAAATGTGTATAATTTTGTATTCATATGATACTGATCCGATCATAATCATATAAGATATTCATTAAACATAATGTAAAAAGCTTGAATTGCGAATTGAATAATCGAACAAAATATTAATTTTTATTTAAATAATTAAATTAATATTATAATTATATTATAATTAGAAGTCGATTCATTAACGAGACTAATAGAGAATGGTTTAAGAGGTGGTCGTAGAGGGTGATGGCGCCTGTGGCTGTGAGTGTTGGACACGTTGTAGGGCAAGGAAACTGTTTTCTTGCTTTAGTTGGGGGAGCAATTAGTGGTTTCATGAAACCCACTCATGAAACCTAAAGGGGGTAGGTTTCATACGGGGGTTAAAGAGTTTAATATATAAATGGTATTTATATTCTCGTATATCTTATATATTTTATATATATAAGTAAATTGGTTAAGGGATGAAATAGTTGTTTATATATAAATATATTATCATAATAATCATATATCCCTGCGTATATTAAACATGAATATAGATAGCATTGAATGTTGAATTTTATCTTTTGATTAAATTCAAATTTAAACAAGTCAATCCAAACATCTCCTAAAAAATATACCAAACATGCCCTTGGAGAATGAACTCTATCGAAATAAGAGCAGATAGTTAAGTCATCCTAAGGAAGTCGAGATGGTTACAGGTGTTAGAGAAACTGCCAGGGATGAGAAGAACATAGATCATGTGTGAATGGGTGTGTATCCATGTGCTAATAATAACTAACAAATGGTCCAAAGCCAGAGAACATGGAATGCGCCGTATACAAACATGACAACATGGTCTGAGATCTTGGTTGGCCTAAGTTCACTGTTCCACCCACGTCGGCAGTCCCTTTCCCTTTGCCGGCCAGATCAGAGAAAATGTCTGGTGTTCATTTGCTTGCCTATGGATTTATTTTTTTTAGTCCAAGAGTGTTTAGATTAATTTTTGTACATTTCAATTATCGGAACTACAATATTCATGAAAAATAAATCTCTCAAAATCTAATCTTAAAATATTGTCAAAATTTAAATTCAAAACATCTAAATTTATATCTCGTATAACTATTGTGCAATCTGAATCTTTCCACTAAAAATCTAGGTCGTGTTTAGTTATCATCTCAAAAACAGTTTTTTGTTCTCAAAATTTCAAAAACATCCAAAATCTGTTTGTTTAGCATTTTTGTTCTCTAAATTTTGGAAAAAAAAATAAGATTTGAGTCAAAGAAACAGAAAACAAAGATAACTTATTTTCAAAATTTTCTTTGAAAATTTTGGAAATAAGGAGAACAATTTTGGATCTTTATATATATATTTATTTATTTTTGTGTCAATCTAAAAATAAATTTTTTATATTTTTTTATTAATGTTTGAATTACTATTTAAATATATATTTAGGCTGTCCAAATAGATTTTACTATTTTCTGTATTGTAAAATTATTTTTGAAATCATCTAACCAAACAAATTTTTTATCTCAAAAAATATCAATACCACTTTCTTAAAACTCTTTTCAAAAACTATTTTCGGATACTATTTTTTGAAACGCAAACCAAACAGGCCCCTAATTTCTTAAAGTTTGATCATTGTTAATCCTATTCTTTTTCCAACAAATAGTGATGGCCACTCTCGAAGGGNTAAGATTTGAGTCAAAGAAACAGAAAACAAGTATAACTTATTTTCAGAATTTTCTTTGAAAATTTTGGAAATAAGGAGAACAATTTTGGATCTTTATATATATATTTATTTATTTTTGTGTAAATCTAAAAATAAATTTTTTATATTTTTTTATTAATGTTTAAATTACTATTTAAATATATATTTAGGCTGTCCAAATAGATTTTACTATTTTCTGTATTGTAAAATTATTTTTGAAATCATCTAACCAAACAAGTTTTTTATCTCAAAAAATATCAATACCACTTTCTTAAAACTCTTTTCAAAAACTATTTTCGGATACTATTTTTTGAAACGCAAACCAAACAGGCCCCTAATTTCTTAAAGTTTGATCATTGTTAATCCTATTCTTTTTCCAACAAATAGTGATGGCCACTCTCGAAGGGTTAATATGTGATCCTGATTAAGCATGACATTGACAATTCTAGATATGATCTGCAAACTCGCCCTATCAAAAAAGAAAAAGCCAAATATTATAGACCAACATAAACATACTAAACACAACATAGTCAAATTATAAATAGATGGAATATAAGTTGATCCAATTTTGATAAGACCTTAATCCTGACACCTCATACCATGCTTCAAATTGCAGGTTTGGCATTGTTGTTATTGCAAGAGATATGGCACGTCTATGTTCTTGTTGTGTGAGAAAGATGACAGGTCTCTCACATCCTTGGACCTTCTGAAGTAGCATTCCTCATGTTTGTCCAAAAAACCCATTTCTCGATTTGTGCGTCAACTTTGTGCAAAGTCCATACTAATCTTCTTTGTATCGTTTCAATTTTATCAAATGTCCCCGAAGGGACAATTGAAAACCCAACCAGACAAAAAATCAGACAAACTAAGATTGAAACAATCAGCTTGCATAACCACAAATGGTTCCATAGCAACCACCAATCTTGGCTATAAGCAAAACAATCATCAAATTACTATACTCTGGGAGAGGAACCAAAATGTAGGAAGAAATACAAATCAATCATATGATTTGGTAACACCAATGAAAAGATCGTTGGCACCCTCAACCCAGAGATAATAAATACAAAATAAAATCATACAAAAGATTGATTTTTATGCTTAATTTAGCATCAACAATAGACAAGTAGGAATATACAGTTGACACATTCCCGAATAGCAAGGATGCTGCCTCCACCAATTGCCTCCCTTGTGATGAACGCAACTTGTTCATAGAATGTGTAGTTTGCTTGTTCGGATGCCATACAAACCACAAACCTAAACTCACATGTATTCACCACATTTCACAACATGGAATGATAAACAACCAATCTCATTCAGTCTGCTCTGACCGGAAAGGCCTTCCCCAACTTAGAAGTAACGGTCTCAGATCCAGGGACAGTTTTCAAGTTTCCATTGTCAGACATGTAGTAGTAATTGTAGTTGATTCTAGTGACCAAATCTGCTAAATGAGGGAACTGCCCCACATTGAGCTTAAAAGATAGGACCTGCACAGGCAGACAAGAAAGAGATACTAAAATGTTCATGTCCAGATCTCGTGAAAAAAGATGCAAGTGTGCGAGTATGACAAGTGTATTCATTGTGTAGTTAAATTGGAATGCACACCTAGTGTTGCATATCATCACACTCATGCATGTACACAGTCTGCAGGAATGCACATCAGTTTTTAATATTGTTGCACCAATGCATGTATGCATTCTATATACAGCATATGCATGAGTCATGTAATTTTGGCAGAAGATGCACAAAGATAGTCAACACATGGGTGGATAGAAGACTACTCTCAGGAGGAAGGCTATGCAATCATCGAACTGCTTCTCTATCCGATCCACTTCCATTTCACATCTAGCCTTGATGGCGGAAACAGCTCCACCACTGCTTAGTGTCTGCTGTATGGAATAGAAGTCCAGAGCTAATCCAAGGATACTGTTGATCCGGCTAGCAATTAATGCCCACTGCAGGCAAAAGAGTCCCATCATACAGTAATCATAATCTTGTTTGTCACAAGAATCACCAACTTCAAAAAAAACTTTAAATGTTATCAAAAAAGCAAAGAAAACGGGAGAGTTACAAACCAGCTTGTCCGGAACAACAAAGCATTGTCGCTGGATTGATAATAAGTAGGCCTCATGCACTTCAATGACTTCATCCAATGATCCAGCTGCTGCCATACCTTCACAAAGTTCACACCATGCACTATGATATACCTGCTTATCAAATCCTGGTCAGAGATGAAAAGTGTCCAGCCACCATTCACCACACTTATTATCCTACCATTTGAAATCTATAGTAGCTTGGAACAACAGAAGAACACTATTTAGAACTGACCAAAAGACTATGAGGTTGTGTTCAGTAACTTATAATTGGCTAATTTCGTGAAGCCTTATATAATGTCAACCTAATTAATGTTTATATAAATTGAAGTAAACTATCCTTGTATCAAAATGATGGCAACCGACCCATGTTGATTACATAAATTACAGTTACATGAAAGTTGATACAAACCCATATCCTATTCCTTAGCTCTAGCAATTTCCCAATTATGGAAAATGGTAGAATTGGAACGACAAATAGCATTTATGGAGAGTAGCCCCTAATGGGAATACATTATCAAAAGTAGGACTTAACTGTCCTAATAGAAATGTGATACCACTTAGAGCATCTCCAATAGTACTCTCTATTTTAGGGAGTATCTTTTTTGAAATAGAGAGCATCTTTGATAAAATTTTAAAATANAACTGTCCTAATAGAAATGTGATACCACTTAGAGCATCTCCAATAGTACTCTATATTTTAGGGAGTATCTTTTTTGAAATAGAGAGCATCTTTGATAAAATTTTAAAATAGAAAGTCAAATATTTTAGACAACTCCAATATGCTCTTTATTCTAGTAGAAAAATAGTCTTACAGCTAATAGCATTTAATAAGAAATGGACATGTGTCATCTTTTATTCAATAAAAATAGAATAGAGAGTGAGTTAGACTCTCTAAATGTAAGTTCTCTATTTTAACTAGTCTAAATAGAGAACCAATTAGAGCTTGATTTTTTATAACTGACACTTTAAAATAGAGAATTGAGTGAGAGTAAAGAGCCTATTAGAGATGCTTTTAATGGTTTTTTATAGAGAAAGGTAGAAATCATTGGCAATTTTCCTTCAAAGAATCTTCAATGAAGAGCAAGCCATGTGTTACCTAGTATTAATTATGGCATCAAGCCATGGAGGCTTAAAGAATAAGTAATAAGGGTCTGGACTCTGGAAAGGCAGGAAAAGAACTGCTCCTGAATCTTGTACTGTTCAGTATGCCTCTTTTGGAGGCATATCTATTCACTTGTTTGCCTACAAATGTGCCCAAAACCTAGATGAAATCAGACTGCAGGTACCCCAGGTGGAAAGCCCCCCGCCCCCTCCAAAAACACTAAGAACACCGAGTAAGCCAAGTCAGATCCTTTTTTCAAATTTCCCAAACAGCTTTTACGACAAGAACGTTGACACATTAAGTAAAAGGTTGAGCTGCATGAGATGGCCAATATGGAGAAATAGATTGACATGAAACAACAGCAAAGGAAACTATGGAAGAAACAGGTAGATAGCATGATTAATCAACAAAAAAGAGAATCGCCATATGTGGTGTACAGGATGTGATCCCACAGATGCAAGATAGGCACAAATTAATTCAACACAAAAAATTCTTAAAGAAATAATTTTAGCACATTTCTCTTAATCTTTTACGGAAAAAATGGAAAACATGTATTGTAAGTCAGGAAATATTTACTCTGTCCATCACATATTGGTGAAAAGCATCCACAAAATGGAGTATTTTTTGCTCCACTAACCAGTGGTGCTTGCGACTGATTGTTGCAATGCCTCTATCCTGAAAGAGGTGCAGAAACAAGAATAAAGTATCATAAAAAAATCATAACAAATCAGAACACTCACACTTAGTAATAACAATGACACTATATAGACCGACTCTAAAACTTAGAGCTTTCCAAGATATATTACTATATCATACACTACAAAGACACAGCAGAAAAAACAGCAGGATGAACCACCTTCCACATCCACCTCCGAGCTTTATCCAGAACAAATTTTGCACGCTTGACCTTCAATAAGAAACTCATCACCTGCATGGAACACAGAAATTGGTTAAGAATAACTGATGGCACCTAGGATACAATAGAAGTGAAAAGAGCTACCTGGTTATACTTCTTAATTGCTTCTGTATTAGCAATAAGTTCGAGTGGCCAAGAGACCTATGACATGTAATAGACAAGATAAGATAAAAAGATCGGTGGAGAAAATGGAAAAGCACATATATAAGGGAGAAAGAAGGGGTGGAAAAAAGAACTACGCATACCAGCTGCACTGTTAACTAAAATAGAGAACAAATCATGCAAAACAATTAAGTACACCTTGTATGTGAACTTCAGTGACTCAAGCCCATCAATTCCAAAGATCTGCGCACGACTTTTCCGAGGCGTTGAGACAAGGATAGATGCATCATGTTGCTCATCACCACATAAACTATTATTTTTGCTGATAGAGACAACCAGCGAATCTGGTGCACTTAGCAGTATGCTGTCAGCAGAGTTCCTAATTGATTCCTGAGTAAAAAAAAGCGTAATTTTCATCAAGATATAAAGCTAAAGATAGGAGATGAAAAAAAAAAGCTCAAGAGAGGCAGAAAAAGGATAAATTATACGTGGACCCCTAACATTGTTTTATTACATGGACATCCCTGTGATTAAAGATATGATAATGAGACCACAATTATAAGATGATGATACTATTCCATAAAAAAACTATTTTACAAAATATTTTACCCTCAACTCTAACCAGTGAAAATTAAATAAATAAAACCACACCCAAATTTTTACCTAGGCCCATACTCAATATCCCTCCCCCTTCCCTGCCAAATTCCTCCCCCTTACCTGCCAAATCCCTCCCCCTTTCACCACATATGGAGCAAGTTTTGGTTGTGTAACAAAAAGGTTTAGAAGTAGGAAGAACCATTGTACAAGGAGTTTAACTATCTAGAAGGAGCTGGTTGTATATATGAAGAGAGCTTCTATCCCAAATCGGAAAATTAAGTACACCCAGTGTTGCTTTATATACTTGAGGAGCTACTCCAACCATTGCCAATTGATTTTTAGCTAGATACTCTAACATAGTATTAGAGTCAGGCCTTACGTGGTAGTGAATCAAGTCTCTCAACTAGTTAAATTTTTCGACATTCATGCTTGTTTGTTTTCCCCATGTATGAGCCCAAGTTCCATCTGAGAGAGGGTGTAAAGAAAATTTGTATCCCAATTTGGAAAATAAAGTACACCCAAGGTTGGTTTATATATTTGAGTAGTCACTCCACCCATTGTCAATTGGTTTAGGGTTACATACTATAACAGTATCCATTGTGGCCACCAAGTAGTCGTGTAATATACTAAAAAGAGGAGCCTTATTATAGGTATCATGCTCATAGTTTTATCTTCAACAAAGTTGTCATAGACATCAAGATAAAATAGCACCGACAAGAAAATTGGGGTCACTCGTACAACTCTTTATCACTTTCTTCACGCACCACACAAACCCACAGACCACCAAACTCCACCACACAAATCCACAACCACCACACAAACCACCAAAAAATGTCCACTCTTCTCCAACAAAACATGTGCGCTCTCTGTCCAGGTTAGTGATCTTTACCTTTGGAACGCATGCAAGTTTTTGCAGGCTTGAAAGTTTTGGGAGGCTTGAAACTTTTGGCAATTTCCACACTAGATTTTATGGGCTTTCAAAGTTTGGGTGATTTGAAATAGACATTTGGTATTTTACAAATTGTTTGTAGGCATGGTGGTGTAGAAGTGGGCTTGTGCATTTGGTGGCGGTAATGATGGTCATGGAGGGTGGAAGTTGTGGAGTCACCTGTGGTGGAAAGCCTACTATTATGTACTGGGCTGAGTTTGGTTTGCTTGAAGCCAATGGCTAACCCATTTTTCAGTTTACATTTGTTCTCCTTCTCACCACTTCAATTTCTGGATGTCCTAATGTAGATTTCTAGTTGTCTTGGTGGTGGTTGCCAATGTGGTGGCAGCAATCAATGGCACTGTTATGAAACTCACGCCTGGGCGAAACGAACCCAGCTCGCCTGGCAAAGCCCAGACGAAGCGAGCTTCAATAAGGCGAGAATAAAGCAACCAAGGCGATCGCTTTGTCGCTTAAGAGCAAAGTGACGAGACAAGCATTTTATTGAAGTTTTTTAAGTTGTTTCATTTGTCTATTATGGGCTGTTAGATTGATCAATTGGATTAAAATTTTGATATGCTCATAACACCTAATTGCCTCTTGTCCCTATATACGTCTAACAACTAAACCTTAATCAAACCTGAATTTGCACTGAAGAACAAAGATCATTACCTTGCAACTTCAACAGGTATGTTCTTTTCTTCTTCTTTTTCTTTTGTGACAAACAATTTACTGAGTCATCAATTCAACTCTAAATTTGATTCCATTCCGAATTTGCATGTTGTTGCTGTTTCTTCTTATGACTTCAAAAACTTTGCTAGAACTCTGATTTTTTGGCCGGAACTTATATGTCTCTGTTTTTATTCTAGTATGCATTATAGTTTGAAACTATGTTTATATTTATTAATTTTGTTGTTTTGTGTGTTTTTATTTTGTTGTTTTTATGTCTCTACTGTTTTATTTAGTTTGGATCACTGCTTTTTTTTTTTTGGTGCTTTGGGGTTGTATTTTCTGTTTTTATGTCTTTGCTTGTTTTTATACTATTCGCTTTGCTTTGATAAAACGCTTGCTTCACCTCCCTCTAGAGACTGGTTCGCTTTATGCAACAATGGTTGGTTGTCATGATGGCGATTATCGTGGTCATTGTTAATAAATTTGATTATTTTAATTCAATTGTATATATTTGTGTATTTCTTTACTAGAATAGGTTGGATGATTATAGAATTAAGTATGAAGGAATAATCAATTAGTAAATTATGTGATTAATAGTAAAATTGTAATTAATTAAATAAATTGAATANCATACCAAAGTGTTGGCAGTTGACACATTTTCTATGTAAAGATAATAGGAATAAATTGAACATAAGAGCCAACGAGAGATCCAATTGAATTTTCAGTCTCTTGCGGTAACAAGTGTCTTACATGGATGCCAAGTATTATGATCCTCAGCTCAAGAAAAAAGGACATCTGGATGTCCCATGAATGTCAACCAACCTGATTGGTAGTCAAAGGAACCAATATTTTCAATGACTTTACACAATTTAATTGTACCTTTAACCTCATCTATATTGTTGATTATGTTTCTTTTTTTTTTTTGTTGTTGTCTATATCCTGTGCAAAAACCCAGCAAGATAACTCAACCTTCATAGGGGAACATATGAACATATCAGATATGGAGGAGCATCTCAGCCTTGTTGAACGTCACATCTCTAGACATGCCAGCTACACTTATATTTATTCTCCACAAATCTTTAGAATATATCAATTATGGCTGACAACTTAAAATTAAAGTAATATTCAAGTGCACAAGATCAGACGAGATGAGATCAAAATAGAATGGAAACAAGGTGGGGGTACTTCTCAATAAAAGGAAGAAATGGACACAGTGAGGAAACAAAGAGAAGGAAAAATAAATAGTATTTAATAAACAAAGTTGCTCTAAACACAAATTCCAACATTTGGTAGCAAATCAACTTGCTTGTTTTGAAAAGAAAATGATCACCAATTGGATTGCAGAGCACCAGTTGTATTTCATCTATGTATCGTTAATTACAGATTGCTCACCCCTACCTTAGAAAGATAATTTGAGAAACCGTCCTTCCCCCAGTGTGACAATTAAACTCTCACGAACACTAATTCTCAACACAGCAACACAATACAAGGGCACAGGATATGGGCCTAAATAGAATGGATAAACCAAAACCACAAAGAATATATAGCCTGCCACAGATTAGAGATAAGGCATTGAGTTGCGTAGATCAATTGCACCTGTAATATCATGTTCAACTCAAAATCATCATCCCAGGATTCTCCCTTGTCCAACTTATTAAAAACCACAGTCAAGAAGTGCTGCAGTAAATCACCTGGATACAGTAACATTGCAAACCTATCAGAGACACCATGCAAGATTTAAAAGTTCAGCATAGCTGGAATGCTCAAGATACCTGAACCTAACAGGAAAATAGCACGCAACACTCCCAGCTCATCCATCAATCTCCAGTCATAAAGTAACTTTGACAATATATTTCCACCAATTTTATCAACCTGCAGTGTCAATATAAAACATTTAATTGTGAATTTCAGTAGTATAGAAGATTATTAATAAACAAATAAATAATTCTGTTGAGGAATTTAATGAGCTCTATGCCTGCTTCTTGATGTAGACAATAAGGCATTCCTGTAGAATAACCACAGGAAGTAGAGTAGCTTTCAGCTCAACACTTTGAATCCAGCTAAGAATTCTTGAAGGAAGGGTGCTGTTCTTCTGAAATGGTAAAAACTCTGACATATGATGGTCCTCCTGTCCCATGATCACAAAGTTTCAGAATTTATGAAATCCTGGTTAACCTATAGCCATTATCCTGCCATTCAAACTTCATTATAGGAGTACCTGAAACGATGGAAGGAGAGTTGGAAATGGGAATAACCCTTCTAACATCTTTGTGTCCTCCTGTGAGCGAGCATATTCATATTCACCAAACTGAAAACCAAAAGTATAATTCGTTCCTTTATCTACCAGAAACGGTCCACTATCTCCACTGAAAATAGCCCTTCTCAAGCCCTCGTCATTTAAAGGGGGCAGATAAAAGTTTCTGGACAAGTTCAATGTGCTCCAAGCATCCTTATTCTCACAAAGTGATCTTTGGCAAACAGTCATAGATGGATTTTCTGGGCAGAATGATCTAACAAGGGGCACTTCAGTTGTAACAACAGTAGCAACATTCTCTCCCTTAGCATTAGTAAAATTGCTGGCATCCTTAGGCATAGATGTTAAATCAATCTCTCTGTTCCTAGAAAATGTATCAGCTAATAACTTATACCAAATCTTCTCAGAGCATGCTACGCCTGGCAAGCTCTCTCCAGTTACTTGTGGTTTTTGTTTTCCCACAGAAGAGTGAAACAAGGAAACAATTCTTTCATCTTCCCAAAAGCATTTGGAGATGTGATCACCATGGCCAACAAGAGCTACTACTGAGACACAAAAGATCTCTGACAAAGTAATCGCAGCTATGCTCTGCCCAATCTCTTGATTATCACCAAATACCGCTAAGCATGCTGAGGGAGCACGTCGACTCAGCTGCAAAGATTTTCCAGCAGAAATAATTGACTTAGCTATGTCCTTCATAAACAAAGGACAAACTTGAAGGTCTCTCTCATTCCGATCTTTTCTTTTTGCAGAAATTGAAACGGAAATGGACTCTCTTCCTGTTACATCCTTCTTATCATCTGTTAAAGGTTGAAGATCAGTGGTGTAAGCGACATCCAACTTCTGATACCGCGTTCGTCTCAAAAGATAGCTCTTCTCCCAGAACTCAGCCTCATCTATTCCAATTGCTTTGTTACCATAAAAGAACATCTACAAGGAGCATAAAGAGAAAACAATAAGGCTTTAAAGAGGACAATTGTTTCTTCAAAACGAGGTGGAGAGAGAGAGAGAGAGAGAGATCACTCAATCGACACTACAAAAAGAATTTTCAAAAATATAAATATTTCCATATATAATGTATAGGTGGACTAAATAATGCCAAAAAGAAGTGACTTGATGACATTCAACAAATAAAGAGAAACCACCATACTTACAGCACCAGGGAACTTCATGGGTAATGTTTCTACACTGGATGGTCTCAGTCATCCATAATAAAAAGTTTATTCTGAGGTATCTTTAGGCTTAAGAGATGACCGGAATCGAGCTTTTAAATATAGTACAAACTACAAAGTTTTTCTTTTAAAAAAATTACCTCCTCAAAAGGATCATCAAGTGTTCCTTCAAAAAGCCAGGAATCAAAACCCTTTATATATGGCAATAAACTCCCAACAAATATATAAAGTAGCATCCTATATGCATCCTCCTGAAAAGCACATTGAGTCTTAAGTTCAAATCACAAGACAACACAAAAAACAAATTGAGTTGTGGCTAAGAAAGTTTTACAACCTCGCCACCTTGCACAAGACAAACTTCATTGAGCTTCTTATAAAGATAATCAAGAATATGTGTGGCAATGTCAGCAGCCAGGACCGGAGGATCAAGTTCAAAATAGACTTGAGGTATGGCTCCATACACTATTTGCAATAAAAATTCAGCTCCTGAGGAAATACTAAAGAGAAACATATATCACAAGAGGTTGTCATGGCGGGAGAAACCAATCAAAGACAAGATCAAATCCCAAAACATGCTTTGGACATAGACGTCACACAAAATCCAGGGGAGACCGGCTCACCAAAGATGTTGATTCGTGTCATGTTCATGGTGGAATACAAGATGTGCAATACGAAAACAAAATGAAATATTGTGCAGTTAAAGGATGTCTGATATGCAAAAGTGTCAGAGTAGCTGGCACTGAAAACAAAAGAGAAATGAAAATGAACGGAAAAAAATCAAGGGGGTAAGAAAAGGCAANGAAAATGTATCAGCTAATAACTTATACCAAATCTTCTCAGAGCATGCTACGCCTGGCAAGCTCTCTCCAGTTACTTGTGGTTTTTGTTTTCCCACAGAAGAGTGAAACAAAGAAACAATTCTTTCATCTTCCCAAAAGCATTTGGAGATGTGATCACCATGGCCAACAAGAGCTACTACTGAGACACAAAAGATCTCTGACAAAGTAATCGCAGCTATGCTCTGCCCAATCTCTTGATTATCACCAAATACCGCTAAGCATGCTGAGGGAGCACGTCGACTCAGCTGCAAAGATTTTCCAGCAGAAATAATTGACTTAGCTATGTCCTTCATAAACAAAGGACAAACTTGAAGGTCTCTCTCATTCCGATCTTTTCTTTTTGCAGAAATTGAAACGGAAATGGACTCTCTTCCTGTTACATCCTTCTTATCATCTGTTAAAGGTTGAAGATCAGTGGTGTAAGCGACATCCAACTTCTGATACCGCGTTCGTCTCAAAAGATAGCTCTTCTCCCAGAACTCAGCCTCATCTATTCCAATTGCTTTGTTACCATAAAAGAACATCTACAAGGAGCATAAAGAGAAAACAATAAGGCTTTAAAGAGGACAATTGTTTCTTCAAAACGAGGTGGAGAGAGAGAGAGAGAGAGAGATCACTCAATCGACACTACAAAAAGAATTTTCAAAAATATAAATATTTCCATATATAATGTATAGGTGGACTAAATAATGCCAAAAAGAAGTGACTTGATGACATTCAACAAATAAAGAGAAACCACCATACTTACAGCACCAGGGAACTTCATGGGTAATGTTTCTACACTGGATGGTCTCAGTCATCCATAATAAAAAGTTTATTCTGAGGTATCTTTAGGCTTAAGAGATGACCGGAATCGAGCTTTTAAATATAGTACAAACTACAAAGTTTTTCTTTTAAAAAAATTACCTCCTCAAAAGGATCATCAAGTGTTCCTTCAAAAAGCCAGGAATCAAAACCCTTTATATATGGCAATAAACTCCCAACAAATATATAAAGTAGCATCCTATATGCATCCTCCTGAAAAGCACATTGAGTCTTAAGTTCAAATCACAAGACAACACAAAAAACAAATTGAGTTGTGGCTAAGAAAGTTTTACAACCTCGCCACCTTGCACAAGACAAACTTCATTGAGCTTCTTATAAAGATAATCAAGAATATGTGTGGCAATGTCAGCAGCCAGGACCGGAGGATCAAGTTCAAAATAGACTTGAGGTATGGCTCCATACACTATTTGCAATAAAAATTCAGCTCCTGAGGAAATACTAAAGAGAAACATATATCACAAGAGGTTGTCATGGCGGGAGAAACCAATCAAAGACAAGATCAAATCCCAAAACATGCTTTGGACATAGACGTCACACAAAATCCAGGGGAGACCGGCTCACCAAAGATGTTGATTCGTGTCATGTTCATGGTGGAATACAAGATGTGCAATACGAAAACAAAATGAAATATTGTGCAGTTAAAGGATGTCTGATATGCAAAAGTGTCAGAGTAGCTGGCACTGAAAACAAAAGAGAAATGAAAATGAACGGAAAAAAATCAAGGGGGTAAGAAAAGGCAAAAAGAATGTCTTTGTTAAAGAAGGAAGAATGAGAGAGAGAGAGAGAGAGAGAGAAATGTGATTATCTGCAAGAAATATTAAAAAAACATGACATGGTGCTCATTTTTGACAGCATTGCCAATATTCCCCCCACCCACCTGCAGATATCCAACAAAAATATTTCAACCGAGCTTTACAAACCTTGACAAGGAACTCCCCAGTCCCAAAAGGGTTGGAGCAGTTCGACCGTTGGAGTTGCTTATCTTTGTCTCCTCTTTCATAGCAATATTCCGTAACCTCTGGTCCAAAAACAAGTTAGTTTGATTAGAGACTACACAGCATACCACAAAACTTATGGTGGGATCAAAAAAAACAAGTTGATTTAACAGTATGGATAAGAACATACGCTAAGCCAAGCAGAAATAGAGCACACAAATGCTCTCAAAGTAGGTGGAGGTGATCTTGCAGAAGTCTCCACTTTATTGCAAACAATCTCTACGAGTTGTAAACATGTTGCAGCATACAGAAATTGATCCAGAACGAGATGAAGACTTGTCTGGGAAAGATGAGTTACATAAATCCTACTTATGGGACAGAACCTCTGTCCAATATTGTCCCAATAGAACAAAGAACTGGATAACCCTTGTAAAATTTGTAACACACCTCGCACCTGAAGCCAAAAAGTGTTAGAAAAAATGATTAATATGTTGAAATATATCAGCTTAAGACAACGGACTAATTCTAATGGTCAACTACACCGAGAAGTTAGCATACCAGGTCTACTTCATTGGTCCTCAAGGAAAATATTGGTGTTGCAAAATGTAAGCCACCAGAAAAGGAACTGTGGATCTTACTAATCAAACTATTAGAAACTTCCATGGCTGTCTCATTGGCTGAATAAAAAAAACAAAAAATGTTAGAGCAAGAAAAATATTAAAACAGCGTATTTGCCATCAAACATCTGTGAAGCCATGTATGAAAAAAGCTCAATATAACTGCAAAAGAGTTTGTACATTAAATGTACGTGTTTGAAGGTACCATGAAATAAAAAAAAAATACCCAAAAAAGTCCCAATAAATTACTAATAGTAATATCTACATCTACCTCTCCTACAGCGAAAGATAATTATCTCATCAATGTTTCATCTAATTTCGATGCTCACCTCAATTTTGTATCACTAAAGATTCCATTAAGTAAAACAGTTAATCAAATGACTAACGATTCCTCTTTCTTGACAATCAATCATTCAGTGTACAAACAATTAACCTATTATGCAATACACAACTTCACCATTTCAATTTCAGTTTTCAAAAAACATTTAATTCCAATGAAACTGCACTAAAAACTTTGACAAATTTCATCTCCAATCCTAATGCATTTCGTTAGGTCCATGTAAGAAATTCCACTAATTTAACACTTGCTTGATGATGCAATAAGCACAAAACCCAAACTATACCTTTCAACATACTGGCATCAAAAACTTCAAAATTAAGCACCAATTTCAATAAATTCATCTACCCAGACAATTTCAATATCAGTCAATCAAGANGAAAAGAATGTCTTTGTTAAAGAAGGAAGAATGAAATTGTGTTGTGCAAATTAAAAAGGACCAAAGCATCTTCACTCCAATAATGAAGGCTCCTAAGATGGATACTGGAAAGTAGTACATTTCCATGAGCGACTAAGAAGGAAGAGAGAGAGAGAGAGAGAGAGAGAGAGAAATGTGATTATCTGCAAGAAATATTAAAAAAACATGACATGGTGCTCATTTTTGACAGCATTGCCAATATTCCCCCCACCCACCTGCAGATATCCAACAAAAATATTTCAACCGAGCTTTACAAACCTTGACAAGGAACTCCCCAGTCCCAAAAGGGTTGGAGCAGTTCGACCGTTGGAGTTGCTTATCTTTGTCTCCTCTTTCATAGCAATATTCCGTAACCTCTGGTCCAAAAACAAGTTAGTTTGATTAGAGACTACACAGCATACCACAAAACTTATGGTGGGATCAAAAAAAACAAGTTGATTTAACAGTATGGATAAGAACATACGCTAAGCCAAGCAGAAATAGAGCACACAAATGCTCTCAAAGTAGGTGGAGGTGATCTTGCAGAAGTCTCCACTTTATTGCAAACAATCTCTACGAGTTGTAAACATGTTGCAGCATACAGAAATTGATCCAGAACGAGATGAAGACTTGTCTGGGAAAGATGAGTTACATAAATCCTACTTATGGGACAGAACCTCTGTCCAATATTGTCCCAATAGAACAAAGAACTGGATAACCCTTGTAAAATTTGTAACACACCTCGCACCTGAAGCCAAAANCCTAACAAGGGGCACTTCAGTTGTAACAACAGTAGCAACATTCTCTCCCTTAGCATTAGTAAAATTGCTGGCATCCTTAGGCATAGATGTTAAATCAATCTCTCTGTTCCTAGANTCTAACAAGGGGCACTTCAGTTGTAACAACAGTAGCAACATTCTCTCCCTTAGCATCAGTAAAATTGCTGGCATCCTTAGGCATAGATGTTAAATCAATCTCTCTGTTCCTAGAAAATGTATCAGCTAATAACTTATACCAAATCTTCTCAGAGCATGCTACGCCTGGCAAGCTCTCTCCAGTTACTTGTGGTTTTTGTTTTCCCACAGAAGAGTGAAACAAGGAAACAATTCTTTCATCTTCCCAAAAGCATTTGGAGATGTGATCACCATGGCCAACAAGAGCTACTACTGAGACACAAAAGATCTCTGACAAAGTAATCGCAGCTATGCTCTGCCCAATCTCTTGATTATCACCAAATACCGCTAAGCATGCTGAGGGAGCACGTCGACTCAGCTGCAAAGATTTTCCAGCAGAAATAATTGACTTAGCTATGTCCTTCATAAACAAAGGACAAACTTGAAGGTCTCTCTCATTCCGATCTTTTCTTTTTGCAGAAATTGAAACGGAAATGGACTCTCTTCCTGTTACATCCTTCTTATCATCTGTTAAAGGTTGAAGATCAGTGGTGTAAGCGACATCCAACTTCTGATACCGCGTTCGTCTCAAAAGATAGCTCTTCTCCCAGAACTCAGCCTCATCTATTCCAATTGCTTTGTTACCATAAAAGAACATCTACAAGGAGCATAAAGAGAAAACAATAAGGCTTTAAAGAGGACAATTGTTTCTTCAAAACGAGGTGGAGAGAGAGAGAGAGAGAGAGATCACTCAATCGACACTACAAAAAGAATTTTCAAAAATATAAATATTTCCATATATAATGTATAGGTGGACTAAATAATGCCAAAAAGAAGTGACTTATGACATTCAACAAATAAAGAGAAACCACCATACTTACAGCACCAGGGAACTTCATGGGTAATGTTTCTACACTGGATGGTCTCAGTCATCCATAATAAAAAGTTTGTTCTGAGGTATCTTTAGGCTTAAGAGATGACCGGAATCGAGCTTTTAAATATAGTACAAACTACAAAGTTTTTCTTTTAAAAAAATTACCTCCTCAAAAGGATCATCAAGTGTTCCTTCAAAAAGCCAGGAATCAAAACCCTTTATATATGGCAATAAACTCCCAACAAATATATAAAGTAGCATCCTATATGCATCCTCCTGAAAAGCACATTGAGTCTTAAGTTCAAATCACAAGACAACACAAAAAACAAATTGAGTTGTGGCTAAGAAAGTTTTACAACCTCGCCACCTTGCACAAGACAAACTTCATTGAGCTTCTTATAAAGATAATCAAGAATATGTGTGGCAATGTCAGCAGCCAGGACCGGAGGATCAAGTTCAAAATAGACTTGAGGTATGGCTCCATACACTATTTGCAATAAAAATTCAGCTCCTGAGGAAATACTAAAGAGAAACATATATCACAAGAGGTTGTCATGGCGGGAGAAACCAATCAAAGACAAGATCAAATCCCAAAACATGCTTTGGACATAGACGTCACACAAAATCCAGGGGAGACCGGCTCACCAAAGATGTTGATTCGTGTCATGTTCATGGTGGAATACAAGATGTGCAATACGAAAACAAAATGAAATATTGTGCAGTTAAAGGATGTCTGATATGCAAAAGTGTCAGAGTAGCTGGCACTGAAAACAAAAGAGAAATGAAAATGAACGGAAAAAAATCAAGGGGGTAAGAAAAGGCAAAAAGAATGTCTTTGTTAAAGAAGGAAGAATGAGAGAGAGAGAGAGAGAGAGAGAAATGTGATTATCTGCAAGAAATATTAAAAAAACATGACATGGTGCTCATTTTTGACAGCATTGCCAATATTCCCCCCACCCACCTGCAGATATCCAACAAAAATATTTCAACCGAGCTTTACAAACCTTGACAAGGAACTCCCCAGTCCCAAAAGGGTTGGAGCAGTTCGACCGTTGGAGTTGCTTATCTTTGTCTCCTCTTTCATAGCAATATTCCGTAACCTCTGGTCCAAAAACAAGTTAGTTTGATTAGAGACTACACAGCATACCACAAAACTTATGGTGGGATCAAAAAAAACAAGTTGATTTAACAGTATGGATAAGAACATACGCTAAGCCAAGCAGAAATAGAGCACACAAATGCTCTCAAAGTAGGTGGAGGTGATCTTGCAGAAGTCTCCACTTTATTGCAAACAATCTCTACGAGTTGTAAACATGTTGCAGCATACAGAAATTGATCCAGAACGAGATGAAGACTTGTCTGGGAAAGATGAGTTACATAAATCCTACTTATGGGACAGAACCTCTGTCCAATATTGTCCCAATAGAACAAAGAACTGGATAACCCTTGTAAAATTTGTAACACACCTCGCACCTGAAGCCAAAAAGTGTTAGAAAAAATGATTAATATGTTGAAATATATCAGCTTAAGACAACGGACTAATTCTAATGGTCAACTACACCGAGAAGTTAGCATACCAGGTCTACTTCATTGGTCCTCAAGGAAAATATTGGTGTTGCAAAATGTAAGCCACCAGAAAANACATGACATGGTGCTCATTTTTGACAGCATTGCCAATATTCCCCCCACCCACCTGCAGATATCCAACAAAAATATTTCAACCGAGCTTTACAAACCTTGACAAGGAACTCCCCAGTCCCAAAAGGGTTGGAGCAGTTCGACCGTTGGAGTTGCTTATCTTTGTCTCCTCTTTCATAGCAATATTCCGTAACCTCTGGTCCAAAAACAAGTTAGTTTGATTAGAGACTACACAGCATACCACAAAACTTATGGTGGGATCAAAAAAAACAAGTTGATTTAACAGTATGGATAAGAACATACGCTAAGCCAAGCAGAAATAGAGCACACAAATGCTCTCAAAGTAGGTGGAGGTGATCTTGCAGAAGTCTCCACTTTATTGCAAACAATCTCTACGAGTTGTAAACATGTTGCAGCATACAGAAATTGATCCAGAACGAGATGAAGACTTGTCTGGGAAAGATGAGTTACATAAATCCTACTTATGGGACAGAACCTCTGTCCAATATTGTCCCAATAGAACAAAGAACTGGATAACCCTTGTAAAATTTGTAACACACCTCGCACCTGAAGCCAAAAAGTGTTAGAAAAAATGATTAATATGTTGAAATATATCAGCTTAAGACAACGGACTAATTCTAATGGTCAACTACACCGAGAAGTTAGCATACCAGGTCTACTTCATTGGTCCTCAAGGAAAATATTGGTGTTGCAAAATGTAAGCCACCAGAAAAGGAACTGTGGATCTTACTAATCAAACTATTAGAAACTTCCATGGCTGTCTCATTGGCTGAATAAAAAAAACAAAAAATGTTAGAGCAAGAAAAATATCAAAACAGCGTATTTGCCATCAAACATCTGTGAAGCCATGTATGAAAAAAGCTCAATATAACTGCAAAAGAGTTTGTACATTAAATGTACGTGTTTGAAGGTACCATGAAATAAAAAAAAAATACCCAAAAAAGTCCCAATAAATTACTAATAGTAATATCTACATCTACCTCTCCTACAGCGAAAGATAATTATCTCATCAATGTTTCATCTAATTTCGATGCTCACCTCAATTTTGTATCACTAAAGATTCCATTAAGTAAAACAGTTAATCAAATGACTAACGATTCCTCTTTCTTGACAATCAATCATTCAGTGTACAAACAATTAACCTATTATGCAATACACAACTTCACCATTTCAATTTCAGTTTTCAAAAAACATTTAATTCCAATGAAACTGCACTAAAAACTTTGACAAATTTCATCTCCAATCCTAATGCATTTCGTTAGGTCCATGTAAGAAATTCCACTAATTTAACACTTGCGTGATGATGCAATAAGCACAAAACCCAAACTATACCTTTCAACATACTGGCATCAAAAACTTCAAAATTAAGCACCAATTTCAACAAATTCATCTACCCAGACAATTTCAATATCAGTCAATCAAGAAACAATTAAACCAAACTATGCACTTCCACAGTCTACATAGTAAAGAAGGTATCGCAAAAAATTAGCTTTGGCAATGGTAACACAATGCTGGTAGAGACCTTTTTATCAAGCTGATCAATCTCACCAAACTTAAAAAAATACCTGTCTTTGATGATCTTTCACTGATTTAAAGGCAAATAAATTCCAACTATTCCATCTGTTTCACACAGAAAATTGGAATCAATAATCATAGATTATCGCAAATTGTAAATTGTAAACCTGTTAAAAAAAACAAATAAGTCATGCAAATATTCATAGACATATATAATTAAATTAACAGAATCGAACAAAATTTGAATAAATTTCTGCCTTTGGACCCAGAAACAAAAAAATCAAAGAAAACCAAAGGCTCAAAACCCATACACTGCCCAGGCCACAACAACCAAACCCTACTCAGCATCCTAGGCTATCACCACTGAACCCCATGCAACACCGCCCCTCACAACACCAGAACACCCATCCAAACACCAAAAACCATCATTACTCCCTCTACGAACTCACACAGACACACACACAAGTACACAACCACATCCACCACAAGCTAAAAGCCAAATCAATTACCNTTGATGATGCAATAAGCACAAAACCCAAACTATACCTTTCAACATACTGGCATCAAAAACTTCAAAATTAAGCACCAATTTCAATAAATTCATCTACCCAGACAATTTCAATATCAGTCAATCAAAAAACAATTAAACCAAACTATGCACTTCCACAGTCTACATAGTAAAGAAGGTATCCAAAAAATTAGCTTTGGCAATGGTAACACAATGCTGGTAGAGACCTTTTTATCAAGCTGATCAATCTCACCAAACTTAAAAAAATACCTGTCTTTGATGATCTTTCACTGATTTAAAGGCAAATAAATTCCAACTATTCCATCTGTTTCACACAGAAAATTGGAATCAATAATCATAGATTATCGCAAATTGTAAATTGTAAACCTGTTAAAAAAAACAAATAAGTCATGCAAATATTCATAGACATATATAATTAAATTAACAGAATCGAACAAAATTTGAATAAATTTCTGCCTTTGGACCCAGAAACAAAAAAATCAAAGAAAACCAAAGGCTCAAAACCCATACACTGCCCAGGCCACAACAACCAAACCCTACTCAGCATCCTAGGCTATCACCACTGAACCCCATGCAACACCGCCCCTCACAACACCAGAACACCCATCCAAACACCAAAAACCATCATTACTCCCTCTACGAACTCACACAGACACACACACAAGTACACAACCACATCCACCACAAGCNAGCAGATAAAAATTAAATTTGACAATCTCTAGGTGGTGAATTTTAATAAATATTAGAACTCACAATAAAATTAATGATTGAGATTATCAAATTTATTTTTTAAGTCCATGTAGCATTATTCTTTTAATTCTATGTATCATTGCTCTTTTTAACCTTGGCGGGATTAAATCTTTTGGGATGAACTCGTTGTTATTCGACGAAATTGGATGAAAATATCATCAATTTAAATTGTTCTTCTGTTTTTTTTAGGTTGAGGAATTCAAAATGAGTCTATTCCATTATCAAATATAATCGGATCGGACCAATTGGGTGGATCGTAAATCGGACCTTAAATTAGTCCGATTTATTAATTAGATTGCCCAAATAACGGTTCGATAGTCAGTCCAATGTACATTTAAACGTCTTGAATTCGAATTTTAATAATTCTTTAGAATCAGGGTATGAAAGATTTATATGTCATGACAAAAAAAATTAATGACAAATTTACCCTTTTAAATTAGATTAAATATCCACAATGTTAGAGCAACTCTAATGGCACTATCCAAAATAACTACGTAAAATATATTTAAATATTGTATTATCTATTTTAATTAATTACTTTTACAAATTTATTACAACCACGCTATCTATTATAACTAACTACTTCAATTAATTTTTAATAATATAATTAAAAATTATATTTTAACACTCATTTCAATCTCCGTTTTTGTGTTTGGTTGTCCACAAGTGAGCAACAAAGCTTTCAATGAAAAACTCAAGCAATTTCAAAACCTAGAAGTGCTCCACATTACTAGATTTTTTGTAGGGTTTTGCTAAATTTTTAGAGGGTTTTACTAGATTTTTGAGGAATTTTACTAGATTTTTGAGAGATTTTGTTAGATTTTTTGGAGGTTTTATTACTTCAGTTCTTGATCTTCTCAATCCAACCTCAGTTCGTGATTAAGAATCTGAGAACCATAGACTGTGAAGAGTTTCCAAGTTGAGACGATGAAGTTTCTGTGAGAAAAAGCCTAGTAGACGATGGAACTTCTATGATGAAGACGATGTTGAGCTTAGTGATGAAAACGAGACCTTCTGTTGAGAGAGCATTATGTGAACTGAGCTTGGTGATGAAGACGATGCCTTCTGTTGAGGAATAGCCAGCCACCATTGGTCGCCAAATCCAACGAGTAAATATTGCAGAATGGGTAATANGATTGGGTGGATCGTAAATCGGACCTTAAATTAGTCCGATTTATTAATTAGATTGCTCAAATAACGGTTCGATAGTCAGTCCAATGTACATTTAAACGTCTTGAATTCGAATTTTAATAATTCTTTAGAATCAGAGTATGAAAGATTTATATGTCATGACAAAAAAATTTAATGACAAATTTACCCTTTTAAATTAGATTGAATATCCACAATGTTAGAGCAACTCTAATGGCACTATCCAAAATAACTACGTAAAATATATTTAAATATTGCATTATCTATTTTAATTAATTACTTTTACAAATTTATTACAACCACGCTATCTATTATAACTAACTACTTCAATTAATTTTTAATAATATAATTAAAAATTATATTTTAACACTCATTTCAATCTCTGTTTTTGTGTTTGGTTGTCCACAAGTGAGCAACAAAGCTTTCAATGAAAAACTCAAGCAATTTCAAAACCTAGAAGTGCTCCACATTACTAGATTTTTTGTAGGGTTTTGCTAAATTTTTAGAGGGTTTTACTAGATTTTTGAGGAATTTTACTAGATTTTTGAGAGATTTTGTTAGATTTTTTGGAGGTTTTACTACTTCAGTTCTTGATCTTCTCAATCCAACCTCAGTTCGTGATTAAGAATCTGAGAACCATAGACTGTGAAGAGTTTCCAAGTTGAGACGATGAAGTTTCTGTGAGAAAAAGCCTAGTAGACGATGGAACTTCTATGATGAAGACGATGTTGAGCTTAGTGATGAAAACGAGACCTTCTGTTGAGAGAGCATTATGTGAACTGAGCTTGGTGATGAAGACGATGCCTTCTGTTGAGGAATAGCCAGCCACCATTGGTCGCCAAATCCAACGAGTAAATATTGCAGAATGGGTAATATCGAGTAAGATAGATAGTCCGTTGGAACAAAAATTTATGGATTGACTATCTAAAATAACTAACAAACCTCATTTCTCTATTCTGCTGGAGTTGCTCTTAGATCACTTGACGATTAACTCAAGTCAACAACCAATTGATGGATACCACTATAGACGACAATAGCCTCCAACGCCACGGCCGACAATCCTCATCGTTGTTGGTAACTATCTCTTGCTTCAACGATGTTGACCATGATAGTGCGAAGGAAAGTTGCGAATGGATCTAAAACGATTTTATCAGCGAATGGATCACAATATAGAGTTACCTATTGAGCAAACAACAAGTGAGCTAAGACCACGATTAACAAATTTATCTATGATGGCATAAACTTTCTTCCTCACATCTTCCCTACTGTTGCAAGAGGACGATGTTCTAGTAGACATTTATAATATAAAATATAATAATTTTTGATAAATTCATCTGTCGGTCTCAAATAAACTCTTCTAACGATCATCAACATCTCTCTTAAATTTTCACCAACTACCCGTTGTCTCAAAAATTAGGCTTGTAATATACTTGAAGATAGAGCTGAGAAAGTTTATATTTGTTTTTTGTTTTCCTGAATGAATAGAATAATGTATCCCCTCTGGTGCACATTTTCATGAACTGGATCCAAATAGTTCACTATGATGTTTATACTCAAATGATGTTTAATGAAATAAATTAGAAATTTAATAACTTAAATTTTATTTCAAACTCAAGTTATTCAAACATAGCAAATGTTTTAATAATGATAGTCAACTTTTGATAAAAAAAATTTGGTGTTGAACAAATTAATCTATTTCAAATTTGAACATTGAAATTTGGATAGTGACAATGAAATTCACTATTTTTTGTCATTGTTATTATGGGTGTTACTTTGATCGTGTGACTGTCCGATTTTCTATAGAATTTTGATAGCGATTTTATGATTGTTATTATGACCATGTGACTATGGTCGTTAATGTAATCATGTGACTATGGTTGAATCGTGTTATTGTTATTGTGATCATGTTGTTGTCTATACTCCAACCACCACCACTTTGCTCTAGTCATGCCACCTTCCATAACACCTCCATCTCCAGTCATCGTCCTTTACACCTCAACCATATGGCTATTGTTGTTATTATAATCGTGTTATTGTGATAATGATTGTTGGTGTTATTGTTACTATCCATTTTGTAATATAATTATTTATGTCATTAAAGGTAAAAATATATACCTGCCTTTATTGACCTAAAAGTCCACAACTATTGACAAACCTCCAAAAAAGACATAAATGAAACATAAAATATAAAATAGAATTTGGGCCTAAAAATGATGCAAACAAACGATTTTGAATGCAATTTAAGTCTATTAATCAATTGGGCTTGGGCCGAAACAAATTGGAGGTCTAATAATGAGATTCAAGCCCACCCAATAACCGAATTGAAAGTCAATCGACATACAAAATCTGTTTTTGATTCGATTGTTCATGTAAAACGGTTCAGTTTGATTCGCCTTAATTTTCTACTTCTTAGTGTATTCGGTTCAGACGACGAAAAGTTGGGACTTCTGTCCATGAGGTCGGTTGAACACCCCTAAGTATCATATTATGATAAGTGAAATTGAATTTGGTCAACATCAAATCCAAATTAAATTCGAATTCAAATAAAGTTCTTATCAAAATATAATCATAGTACTCAACAAATTTTAGTTTTTATTATTCATATTTAAGTTCATTAAAAATAAAATTTTCAAGTAGATCAAGTCAACTTAATTTTAACCTAATACATCTAAATATTAATTCAATTGAGCAAATAATTTACTTAATATCATAAATGTGTATAATTTTGCATCATGTGATACAGATTGGATCGTAATCACATCAAATATTTGTTAAACAAAATATAAAAAATCAAATTATTGATTAAAATAATTAATTTATATTCGAATAATTAAATTCAAATTTAAATTATATTATAATGAGAATTCGATTCATTACAAGACTAGTGGAGAATGGGTTAACTCGCTTTCCATCGGGTTGTGCGCGGTGACGCCGCTTTTGGGCGTTAGACACGTTCTAAGCGCTCAATGGACCAAACTGGTCAGCTGGCGACGGAAGCTATTTAATTCCGACGCTTCAATAAGTTCATTCGATGATAATAAATAGATTTATTTAACGGTTATCAATATCTCTTTTAAAATTATTCACATTATATCGTGTCTTCTGACACGGATTACCCCTAATTAATCACAATTTACCACATTCTCATAACTAGGGTGTTAATTAAGACAAATTATTCGTGTTTGGCTCGAACTCGAGTCATGTTCTAAACGAACGAGTTTAAATATTTTTTTTTAAGTTTGTTAAAAAAAAAAATTTAACAGACTTGATTCAAACTCACAAAATTTGACTCATTTATATGTAAATAGTCGACCTACTCGGGCTCAATTTGAGTTCTAAACAAGGCGAAGTTGAATTTTTTAAATTCGTTTAAAAAGAACGAACTCGATAAACTCAAATTCAAACTCGCAAAACTTGACTCGATTAATACTCCCNGTTAACTCGCTTTCCATCGGGTTGTGCGCGGTGACGCCGCTTTTGGGCGTTAGACACGTTGTAAGCGCTCAATGGACCAAGCTGGTCAGCTGGCGACGGAAGCTATTTAATTCCGACGCTTCAATAAGTTCATTCGATGATAATAAATAGATTTATTTAACGGTTATCAATATCTCTTTTAAAATTATTCACATTATATCGTGTCTTCTGACACGGATTACCCCTAATTAATCACAATTTACCACATTCTCATAACTAGGGTGTTAATTAAGACAAATTATTCGTGTTTGGCTCGAACTCGAGTCATGTTCTAAACGAACGAGTTTAAATATTTTTTTTTAAGTTTGTTAAAAAAAAAAATTTAACAGACTTGATTCAAACTCACAAAATTTGACTCATTTATATGTAAATAGTCGACCTANGACTTCTGTCCATGAGGTCGGTTGAACACCCCTAAGTATCATATTATGATAAGTGAAATTGAATTTGGTCAACATCAAATCNCACTTCTGTCCATAAGGTCGGTTAAACACCCCTAAGTATCATATTATGATAAGTGAAATTGAATTTGGTCAACATCAAATCCAAATTAAATTCGAATTCAAATAAAGTTCTTATCAAAATATAATCATAGTACTCAACAAATTTTAGTTTTTATTATTCATATTTAAGTTCATTAAAAATAAAATTTTCAAGTAGATCAAGTCAACTTAATTTTAACCTAATACATCTAAATATTAATTCAATTGAGCAAATAATTTACTTAATATCATAAATGTGTATAATTTTGCATCATGTGATACAGATTGGATCGTAATCACATCAAATATTTGTTAAACAAAATATAAAAAATCAAATAATTGATTAAAATAATTAATTTATATTCGAATAATTAAATTCAAATTTAAATTATATTATAATGAGAATTCGATTCATTACAAGACTAGTGGAGAATGGGTTAACTCGCTTTCCATCGGGTTGTGCGCGGTGACGCCGCTTTTGGGCGTTAGACACGTTGTAAGCGCTCAATGGACCAAGCTGGTCAGCTGGCGACGGAAGCTATTTAATTCCGACGCTTCAATAAGTTCATTCGATGATAATAAATAGATTTATTTAACGGTTATCAATATCTCTTTTAAAATTATTCACATTATATCGTGTCTTCTGACACGGATTACCCCTAATTAATCACAATTTACCACATTCTCATAACTAGGGTGTTAATTAAGACAAATTATTCGTGTTTGGCTCGAACTCGAGTCATGTTCTAAACGAACGAGTTTAAATATTTTTTTTTAAGTTTGTTAAAAAAAAAAATTTAACAGACTTGATTCAAACTCACAAAATTTGACTCATTTATATGTAAATAGTCGAGCTACTCGGGCTCAATTTGAGTTCTAAACAAGCCGAAGTTGAATTTTTTAAGTTCGTTTAAAAAAAACGAACTCGATAAACTCAAATTCAAACTCGCAAAACTTGACTCGATTAATACTCCCACCTATAACT